CCTGCTCCCAGGATTCCACCCACACCCACAAATGGTGAGCTAGGTTGGTTTTGACACGTGTTTGGTCTCAGCAACAAGAGAAAGAGCTAATGCAGGCACTGGTCCTCTTTAGGAAGGTTCTTCTCCTGTGAGCTAAGCATTTCCCGGAGGTGCTCATGCTACCTTTTGATGGGAGTTAGGATTCCAAAGCACGAGTTTGGGAAACACAAACCTTCCGACCAGTTGTCTTAATCCATCCTAGGGTGATTTAATGGTCTCCACTCCCAATATAAAAGAGCAAGAAAATTTCTCAACTTCTAGCATTGCTTCAGAGCTGTGGCTCTCAGCTCTGCAGAATTATCTGGTGATTGGCCCCTGCCAGGATGCCTGAGCCAACCTAGCACAGGCCCATTGCTCTATACGTCTGGGTTACACAGGCATTCTGGCATCTCCACTGACACACAAATGCATCCTCCTTCTCTCCTTTGATTTTTATGATCACATGTGTGCCTGAAGGGGGCCCAGAAGACGGTGTCTGAACCCCTGGAACTGTACTTACAGGTGGTTATGAGCCCCATGTGAGTGCTAGAAACACATAGCTCTTCTGCAAAAGTAGCAGGTGGTTTTAACCACTGAGTCATCTCTCCAGGCCCTGAGGATGCATTTTTACCCATTGAGCCTTTGAGTTTGCTGTCCCCTTGGTAAAGAACTGGCTCTTCTTCCTTGGGTCTCTGGCTCAAATATGAGTTTGGAAAGGCCATTGTGATGTCCTCTAAATGTCTAGGCCTCTTTAGCTCTGCTTATTTCTTTTTCATAGCATTTACTACCAACTGAATTGTTACCCGCTCTACCTCTCCTTTTCATTCCTTTGAAACAGAGCCTCTCACTGGGCATCGAACAAAACTTCTGGACAGCAAGTCCCAGTGATCCTCCTGTCCCTGTCCACTGTAATGCTAGGCGTATAGGTCCATGAGAGGCCATGCCTAGCTTTTTATTTGGGTGCTGGGATCCAACTGTAGGTCCTCATTCTCGTACAGCAAGCTCTCTTCTGCCCAGAGCCATCTTTCCAGCCACTAACTAAAATTAGTTGACTGTTTTCCCAACTAACTGCTCCACAAGTGATGAAATATTTCACGTGTCTTCATATCTGCCGATGGCACACAAGAAAGTTCATAGATAGATAGATAGAGAGACAGAGAGAGACAGAGAAGGTCTAAAAGTGTGGCTGGCGATTGTAACTAGCATGTATAGGGAGTCCAGTTATAGGCTAGCTCGAGCAACATAGCTGTGTCAAAACAAAAATAAATAAAACAAAACAAACAAAAATCCCCCTCTAAATTGCTATAATTTTGTCCTTAAGCATATTAGACAAAATATTTCAGACATTTAGAAATAATGCTTTGACTCTGAAGAGATAACTATGTGCAACTCAGCGCACAATACCCCCGGAGAGCGGGACCTTGGCATTCTGACTACTTTGAGCTGAAGGACATCAGAAGGGCCTCAGATCACAGTCTCTCTACCCACCTGTCTCCTAGGCCTTTCTTTTCCGAGAGCCCAGAATTCCTCTTTCCAAAGGCAGGCCGTGAAGACTACAGTGGTTCTTACATCTATGGGATGTATTGTGGTAGAATGGTGGACTTTAGAAATTGTTGGCGCTGGCTTACATTTCATTAAAAAAAAAAAAATGTTCAATGAATCTTGGCTGGGGATTAGCACAGAACTCCCAACAATTACTGAAGCGCCCCTAAACGTACATTTGCTATTTTGGGCTACCTACTTATCTGAAGTGGTATTCTCAGCATTGGCAATCCTAAGATCAAAGCAACAGCCCTGAAAAAATGTTGAAGATTTCTGCCCTGCTTTGCTCCTCTGCCGCTGTGGTAAAACACCAGAACAGTCTCAGTCCAGGTTACTGTTGCTATGATAAAACACTGAAGCAAGCCAAGGAGGAAAGGGTTCATTGGCTTACCCTTCCCCATCACTGCTCATTATCAAAGTCAGGACAGGAACTCTATCAGGGGAGGAACCTGGGGGCAGGAGCTGCTGTAGAGGCCATGGATGACACCACCCACAATGGGCTGGCCACACCCCCTTCAATCACTAATTAAGAAAATGCCTTCCAGGCTTGCCTACAGTCCAGCCTTACAGATGACTCTAGATTGCGTCAAGCTGATAGAAAACTAGCCAGCTTGGAGAGAACCCATCACTGAGTGGAGTCAGCACAGGAATTATGGAAGCAGCTGCTTGTTTCCTTGCTTTCAATGGCTTGCTTAGCTATCATTCCTTCTTTTTATTTCTTTTTCTCTTCCTTTCTTTTTTTGTTTTGTTTTGTTTTCAAGACAGAGCTTCTCTGTATAATCACCCTGGCTGTCCTGGAACTCAATTTGTAGACCAGACTGGCCACAAACTCACAGAGACCCACCTCCTTCTGCCTCCCAAGTGCTGGGATGAAAGGCATGTGCCACCATGCCGGGCTTTCTCTCTTTCTTAGACTTATTTATGTGTACGGCTGTTGTATCTGTACCATGTGTGCCTGACACGGTCAGGAATATAGGATACCCTGGAACTTGAGTTAGAGATAATTGTGAGCCACCGTACAGGCGCCAGAAATTAAACTCAGGTCTACCGCAAGAGCCACAGGTGCTCTTACTAACAAAGTTATCTCCCTAGTCCATTAGTTAATTTCTTATACAACCCAGCACCACCTGCCGAGGGGTGCTAGCACCAACAGCAGGCTGGACCCTCCTACATCAGTCCTTAATCAAGAGAATGCTGTCTCCAAACAGCAAAAGGTTATAAATTGGAGAAGAAGGAAAAAAAAAAAAAGCCTAAGATGCTCTGATTTAGCATGCTGCTAGTCTTTTGTCAACCAGGCAAGAGCCAGGATCATTTGGCAAGAGCGAGCCTCTACTCAAAGAAAAAAATAAAGGTCCCACCAGACTGGCCAATGGCAAGCCTATGGGGACATTTTCTTTATTAATGATTGATGAGGGAGGGCCCAGCCTGAATGAAAAGAGAAAAAAAACAAAAAACAAAAAGCTGAGAACATGACTGCTCTTAGGTATGGCTGAGGAGGTTTATTGTAGATATGAGGGAGAAAATAGCCAGAAGCATCTGGAAGGCTCCAGACTGAAGCAGGCCATGAGTGAAGGTGGAAACAAAGAGACCAAGAGACTACATGGCCAAAATAACTGAGGTTATATATAGATCAGAGGCTGGGGGAAGGGAAGTCCAGTCCCTGGGCTGGAGAGGGTTAGGGTAGGGGGCAGGCAGGGTGAGAAGTGCCGAGTGAGAATTGTCCCAGGCTTCTTTGAGACCTAACAGCCCACGGGTGGGTGCCACTTCTGGGAAGTGAATTGTGTAAGAAAGCGGAGTAAGCCTGTCAGCAGCACTCCTTTGTAGCCTCTGCTTCAGCTCCTGCCTCCAGGTTCCTACTCTATTCAAGTTCCTGCCCCCTGACTTTTCTCAAAAAAAATAGATTGAGCTGTGTGTAAGTTGAAATAAACCTTTTACTTCCCAAGTTGCTTTGGTCGTGATGTTTTATCTCAGCAATAAGAACAAAACAACCCGGCAAAGCCTCACAGTCCTGCATAATGGTTCAAGTAATACTGAGCTGATTTTGCTAGGAGCACAAGTCGTCTTTCTTAAAGCTGTAGGGGGAGACAAGCATGCTAGGTGTCCCCTAAGAATAAAGGCCTTTGTAGCAAAGCACCTTGGAGTTAGTGTTGCCATGGAGACTTGTGAACCGCTTTAGAAAGAAGTACACAAATTGGCATCAGGTGAAATAAATTTCAGGTATATATATATATATATATATATATATATATAAATGGATCCTCGAAAGAACAAGGTCTAGATTTTTTGCATGCTGTAGTGTCACAGTTAAGAATGTGGCGATAGACAGCCTCGCCTCTGTATGAAACATTAAATATGTCTATTCTATCAAACGCTTGCAAACTTGTGCTTACAACAAAGATTTCAAAGCCTTTTATCTCCCCAAGCTTGCAGTGTCTGGGCAGGCAAGAAGTATCTGACTCCCCAGAAACTGGCATCACAGGCTGTGACCAAAACTGCAAAACTCGGGTCCTCTGCAAGAGCAGTGTGTGCCCATAACATTATTTACTATTGAAGCTGTAAGTAGCTACAAGGCATTTTCATGTTTGTTTTAGCCCCCTTTTAATTTAGAACGGTCCAAATGTGTTGACACTTGGCCTTTAAGAACCAGCTCTCTCATTATTCGTGGAAAGAATCGAAAACAGGGGCTGGAGAGGTGACCCAACAGTTAAGAGCACTTGTTGCTTTTGCAAAGGACTTGGGTTCGATTCCCAGCACCCACAGGTCTGTAGCTACTGTTCCATCAAATCCACTTCTGACCCCCCCCCCGGGCGCCATGAATGCATCTGGTGCACAAACACACATACAGGCAAAACATTCATACGCATAAAATTAAAAATCTGAAAAAGAAATCTATGTGGGTTTTTTTTTTGTTTTGTTTTGTTTTGTTTTGTTTTTTTGGTTTTGGTTTTTTAATGAAAACGCTTAGAAAGTAATTGCTGGTAGTTTCATCATTGGGAAGATCCAAGGTAGGTGAGTCTTTATTAAGAAGCCAGACCCAGACAATGCCCTTGAGTCTTGACTGTTCAAAGATGGGGGTCAAAGTTTCTAGGATTTTAAGCTTTGAGATGGAAAGCTGCAGGTGGATGCTGGTTTGGTGAAGGTGGGTGCAGCCAGGCCATAGTCGGGCCCGTGCCAACTCTTCAGTCCAGACAGCGCCTGCAGCGGGTACCTGTGGGTGTTCTGCTGAGGTGCCACTCCGACCTGACCTGCGTCTTTATAGACGGTCCTCGTGGCTAGGATGGGGGGGAGGGGCGTGACCAGGAAGAGACAGTCACCACTCCGGTGACTCAACAGCAGGCTCGTCCCAGGCCCCGGAGAAACGTGGTCCTCGGAGAAGGTGTGCCAGGGGCCGGCTGGGGGCGTGTCCGAGCGGCGCTGACGTCACTGGGCGGGGCGCTCGCCGAGTAGAGCAGGGAAGCTGCGGGCGGCGGCGCTCACTCGCGGTCCCGGGTGGTACCTGGTCGCTCCTCCCGCGGCGATCCCCTCCCTGCCAATCATGTTTCTGAGGAGCAGCGTGTCGCGCCTCCTCCACGGGCAAGCGCCGCGCGTCCTGACGAGATCCGTCCACTCTGTGGCGGTCGTCGGAGCCCCTTTCTCGCAGGGACAGGTGAGAGCTGCGACCTGAGCCGGCGGGGTAGGGAGCCCCGAGAGAGTGGAGGAGAAACGCGGGGGGCACCTGGGGCGCTCGCGGGATTCCCTGGCCTCGGTGGAGACGGTGCAGGTGAGGGACAGGCGGGAGGCGAGGGACAGGGCAGCGGGCGTCTGCGGCCTCCCCAGAACGACGCAGGGGTGGGCATTTGCAGCTTGGGGTGATGGAGGGGAGGGAGAGGCGGTGAGAGGCTGCGGCTGGGGATTAAGGAAGCCTCCAGGATCTATTCCTGTAGAAAGCGCATTAACCTGGAAAGAAACCGGCGCTTGCCTTTCCGGCTCGCGGGAGGACCCGAGGGGCTTTGTTCTGTCTTCAGTGAAAGGAAACCGCTGTCGCGGAGGGCGCCCTCGCTGATGGGGAAGCTAGGTGCCGGCTCCAGCCAGCCGCACACTCCGGGTCAGCGGCTCATAACCGCATTCAACCGCTTTCGGAACTTTCCCTCCTCCACCCATTAATGTGATGAAGCGAGCAGCCCCCTGCGGTGGAAGTTTTGATGCTGTGGAAGGTCTGCGGGGGAAGCGGTTAGGGACTCGAGTGTGTCGTCACAGATTTCCGTGGCAAAGTGTCCCTGCCCCTTTCCTCACCTTTCCCGTGTATCTGGGGGTTTGCATGATTCACAGAAAAAGAAAGGAGTGGAATATGGTCCCGCCGCCATCCGAGAAGCCGGCTTGCTGAAGAGGCTCTCCGCGTTGGGTAAGTGGTTGGACTTTCATGTTTGTTCAGGAAGGGGGGAAAGGGCCTGTTCAGAATCTTCTCTTATGATCCGGGTCCTGTGGTATCAGCTTTGCACCTGTAAGTGCTTTGTTCCCACCTGGTAATCCTTGGGATCCCTTCTGCAGACCAACGTCTATCAGGAAGTCTTCAGGGGAAGTCTTCTGGCAAATAGTGTTCGGCAGGTGGGGGAGAGCAGAGTCGGTCCTGGAGCAAGACATAGGTGAACGGACAAGTGCAGCTAAGAATGCTGGTTAGCTCCAGCTTTACCGGCACAGTTAGCCGATTACACGGTCGCTTTCCTAAGGCAGTCTTGAGCTTCTGAGCCATCAGTCTCACGTCTTGCCCCTCTCCAAACCATTTCCTCAGCTGGCGTAGTAGGGTTTCTCAAAACTACCTGGTTATGAAATCACTTGGGTGACTTGTCAAAAGCAGTTCCTAAACTCCTCCATGGAAGAGCTCTGAGTCCTTGGAGCTGAGGCAGGAGCTGGGTAGATCTGTGTATTTTTTTTACAGGCATTCCTTGTAGTCAGATCTGCAGGTTTCTGTGTTGTGATTAAGGTAGTATTTAGGGTTTTAGGACCAGAAGTAAATCTGACTCAAAGATAAACACCACATCTACAGAGGTGGAGAACTATTAGTGCCAAGGCACCAAATCTTAATACTTCTAACATGCCCCCCATTGTCACTAGGACCATTCACCTATCTTTTCTGGTGTCACGAATACAAATTTTGCAGTCAATAGAGAACTGTCCTAGAACTTGTAGACCAGGCTGGCACTGAACTCAAAGAGATATGCTTGCCTCTCCCTCCAGAATGATGAGGTTAAAGGTGTGTGCCTCCATGCCAGGCAGAAAACAGATTTGAAGATGAAATAAACTTTTTCTTTAACATGATGGGTTTGAGATACCTACAAAAGGAAGACGAGGCACTTAGAACAAAGGTGGAGAAGCAAGCAGGGCTTTCTAGAGGATGGTCAGAGTTGGGGTGGAGCTGTAAGAAGGTGGGGGTTGAAGAGACGTCTCAGCAGTTAAAAGCACTTGCTGCTTTTGTAGAGGACCCAGGTTTGGTTACCAGCACCCACATTGCTGCTCAGAACTGTCTATAATCATCTTCCTCACCCTCCTGACGTGAGACAAAAGCCTGGCAGCTTAAAACAAATGCCTTAGAGAGATGCTTTAGGCATCTCTCTCCTACCAGCAGGCATCCTGCGAATGGACTGGCTCAATAAGTCCAAAGCCAGTTCAGGACGTGCCACACAGTAACCACAGTTGTATGCCAACCGACCACCCTCTTTTCTTATAAACTGACTTTCTACAAACTGTCTTTGGAGACTTACGAACCCTAGCCCTCAAGAAGAGGCTGAGTTTTCGGTCTTTTTAGAAGGTCTTTTTCTCTGTGAGTCTGTTTACATGTGTGTATGGTTCCTCACCCCCAAAGACCTTTCTTCAGCTGTTGATTGCATCTGTCCCTATCTGTGGTGATTGAGATTGCTCTGCTGTACCCTGTTGCACTCAAGACTTATCCTGCTTCTTAATTCTTTAACTGGGAGAAAAAGAAACCAATCAAGATCCCTAGACTGTAACGCACGCGCGCGTTACACACACACACACACACACACACACACACACTTGCAGGTAAACAACTTATACTTAAGATGTGACTGGTCTGCCATAATGAACAAATGCCAGAGATACATCAGTTGAGGGTTTGTGGGTAAGAGGAATCTCCCAGGAAGCAACCTAGGAAGGACCAATCAAGGGAGAGTGGAGTCCAGGAGAGAGTGAAGTGTTAGCCTTCACTCTAAAGAGGAGAGCATTTTGGGAACAAAGCAAGCAGCTGTATGTTAAGAAATCCAGCAAAATAAAAGTTGGCAGATTCCTGGGCACGAGCATGAGAGTTTTGGTGGAAAGGTGGGAGGAAGCCAGGCAGAGCCATCACTGTCAAACAGCTCAGCTTGCACCTCCTAAAGTTCTCCTCACTGCTGAAAGCAAATACAGATGCTGAATTCACAGATCTCTGTTCTCATGCTTAAAATCTCTAATGTCTAATCGACTACCTCAGGGTCTCCGTCAGCAGCTCTTGCATTATTAAAGCAGATTCCTCTTCGGCTTATCTGAAAAAGTGCCAGGTGGATTCAAGAAGAAATGTCTTTGGAAAAATAATGTGAGCTTTGTGATGAGGGGCCAGAAAAATTCCCGAGTGGCTTCTTGAATTCCAGCCCCTGTGGCCTACCAACACTGTCAGGTTTTTTACACAGCAGCCCCAGTAACTTGTGGCCTGTTCGCTATCACAGCGGGGTCCCATTACCATAATTACAAAGTGAGACTTCAAAGTGTTAATTTAGTCTTGCTGCTATCTCTAAAGCACAGAACATTCCTTCTACTTGTAACGGCAGAAGGGACGGATTTTTGTGGTGGCCGGAGCGTACGTGGAATCTGGAGCAGATGGAAGCCTGCGAGCCCCGACGGAGCAGTCAGTACAGTAGTGGAATTTTAATTCAGAACATGGCTGTTCTGGCACGAGATCACATCCAAAGACCTTCTAGGTCTGTGTGATCTGGCTGGAATGCAAGCAGCCTGGGCAGTGGTGGCACACACGTTTAATCCCCGGAGACAGAGGCAAGCAGATCTCTGAGTTTCAGGTAAAGAAATGTTTGGGTCCAGGTATGGTGGTACATGCCTTTAATCCCAAACAATGAAGGTAAAGTTTGTAGAAGGAACCATCCATGTTTGAAAATGATGTTTAATTGAGTGGCAAAAAAAAAAAAAAAAAAAAAAAGTGATAGATCAGAGAAAGATCAGACAGACTAGGATATGCCCAACTCTCGTGAAAAGAGAGGAAAGGGAAGCTTCTTAAAGGAGCTGCACAGAGATTGAGGAAAGAGAAGGCAGTTCCTCCCCCCACCTCCAGAGAGTTTTACAGAGAGGTTGCAGAGCGAGAAGAAGCTAGACACAGGTGAAGACAGAATGAGCCAGAATATGAGCAGGAGCCAAAAGATTAGAACAGACTGCTGGAGTTAGTTTGAGGCCAAGCAGAGCAATTCAGTGAGAAACTGAGAGAAGCCAGATTGAATCAATCAGCTTGGAGAGGAGTTTGAGTGCAAACAGCTGAGTTGAACCAGCCAGCTAGAGTTCAGAAAGAACTAGAAAGGGTGAGCTTATTTAGCAGTAAGTCTCAGAGACTGAAAGCATTCTAGGCCTAGATAAGATTGTACTGAGGATAGAAGCTTCCAGGTCTAGGTCTAGGTTAGCACGCAAAGGCTTATTGCCTAGAGACGATGGCTCCAGGTGAATAAAAGTTACTTTTACCATTGCCTCTCTCTCTCAGTTTCGGTACTTTGCACATTCCACCTTGTTTTCATTGCAGCAAAAGCTGTGGTCATTTGACCTAGGTTCCACCAAGGGAAGCATGCATAGCAAATTTTGATTTGAAATTCCAGAAGGGACTGTAAGGAGACCTTCACTGGATCTTTCTGTGTTGTGTGTGTCATTATTCCTAGCAAGCATTTAAACTAGACTCTTTTGGTAAGTCGGTGTCTTACTAGATAACCCTGGGTGGTCTGCAACTCCAGGGTGGCCACAAACTTGCAGCAAATCCTTCTGCCTTTGCCTCCCTAGACCTAGGGTTACAGGCCTGTGTCACCGTGCCTGGTTTTAGACTTAGATTCTTAAAGACTCCTTCTAATGATTCTGGGAAAGCCTCTGATTCAGTAGGTCGTTTTTCTGCTTAGGCGGGTTTCTGTTGTTTGTTGATAATAAGGTGGTTTATAAGCACCAGTGAGAAGCAGACTGCTATGGTGACCTTGGTTATAAAGTTTTGATCGTCTGCCTGTCTCCCCTTTTACACGATGGTGTTTTTTTTGTTTGTTTGTTTGTTTGTTTGTTTTTGAGTTAATGCAGCTTCCTAGTTTAGTTTCTTTGGCCTTTAGTCTTGGACTAGAGCTTAATTCTGTATTTCAGCAGCTTCCTGTTTTGAAGGTGCTGTGGTTTTTGAGCTGTAACATTCCCAAAGGCGACCTCTGAGAATAGCAGTGTAAAGTCTTGATTTGCTTACAGATATCAAGTTCTCAATAAATGGACCTATTGTGACTTGAATCTTTTTTTTTTTTTTCCATTCTGCTTTTAGTGTGGTGATGGTGGACTATATATCCATCAAAACACATTGAGCTTAAAATGTGAATTAATATAAAGTATGCCTCAAATCTGTTTTGAAACACCTTTAGGTTTCTTCTTCCTTCTCTCCCTCCCTCTCTCTCTCCCTCTCTCTTTCTCTCCCCCCTTTTTCTTTCAGTAGCTATCATTATGTATCCCAAGCTCACAATGCTCTTGCCTTAGCCTCCCAAGTTATGGAATGATAGGTGTGGCACTGTGCCCAGCTCAGCATTTTCTTTCTTTCTTTCTTTCTTTCTTTCTTTCTTTCTTTCTTTCTTTCTTTCTTTCTTTCTTTCTTTCTCCTTTTCTTTCTTTTCTTTTTCTTCTCTTCTCTCTCTTTCCAAGACATGGAATCTCTGAGTAGCCCTGGCTCTCCTGGAACTCACTCTGTAGACCAGGCTGGCCTCAAACTCATGGAGTTCCATGCCTTTAACTCAGAGGCAGAAGCAGGTGGATCTTTGTGAGTTTGAGGCCATTCTGCTCTTTGTAGGAGTCACAGGGTTAGCTCTCGAGATCCTTTCTCAAAACGAAAACAAAAATATGAATGTATTTACTCACTGATAGTCTATGCGCAGAGTTGTATAATTAGCATATTTGTGCCAGAGTACAAACTAAGTTTTTGTTAACAATGTTTTAATGGGCTGTGATTGGAACCGTAAATGTAAAACCCAGGGAAGTCAGGTGGCTGTGAGCACATCAAGTGGCTGTGAGCACGTAGAAGCCGGGGATGGGGACAGCAAGGGTTGGAGCTGGGTAAGCATTGAACCTTAGACTTATGAAAAGGGGTTGAGTGAGCTGGGAGGGAGAAAAGGAATCTGAGAAAAATTG